AGGCGGGGTGGGGGGGAGCCGGTGGCTGTTGAGCCAGACTGGCTACCAGAAGAGCTGTCTGTGAAACTGCACTTTGAATATTTTTTAACAGAAGATTTTCCCACGCAGCTTTCTACAGCTGCTGTTGTGAAACCCACTGAGTCCGCCGTCATCCAGGCAGGTCAGATGATGGTCTGTTTGCAAGTGCACTAAGGTTTTCAAGTTTCGGGATCCTGGGCAAGCTGTCACTGCACCCTCCTTGAGCTCCGAAAGAGGAACACCAAGGAAAGCTGGCAGCTGCTCTGCCTGGTGGAGACCTGGCATCACAGTGGGTTAGTGCGAGAGGGCCGGCTGATTGTAAGTGTTTGTGGAAAGCATAAATATTTGCGTAGTGCTTGTAATTGTTGTCAGACGGTGGTGCTCACCCGGTGAGGAGATGTAAAGCTGGAGAGGAAGGTAGAGTAGGAGGCACTTGCTGCCTGAGTTGTGGGAGCCTTTGGGTGAGGAACACTTGAAGCCAGAACCTGCTGCAGCGTGACAGGCTCCTGCCCACAGCATCCTGGCTTTCGGGTGCTGTAGTGCTGGGTTCTGGTGGACCCAGGACTAGGAGGGGTCACAGGACTTCGAAGGAGCTGTGCAGGTGCAGACCAGGGTTTTCCAGAGCTGCCTGCTGGAATCCATCGCAGACCGTAGGTTGTCTGCGTTGTCTCTGTACTGAGAACCACACAGCACCTTCCTTCGGCAGAACCTCTCCTTTGGAGGAGCTTTTGCTTAATGATAAACTAAATCTGTTAAAGATTTATGATGTTACTTGCTTTGTTTCACAGCTCAATTTTTTTAATATGGGAAGAATCACCGTTACCAGCTCACACTTTGGCACCAGTGGGTCCTGAGTCCCTGGACAGACCCTTGCTGCAGTCCATGGGCAGAGATGGGGCGAGACGGGCCATGCCCACGGTAAAACACGCGCCATCAGAGGGACTGCGGAGTTTAGCTGCACCTTTTGACAGAGAACTTGTTATAGAGGTGGTCTTTGAAGACACCTCTTTGAAAGACAACATCTTTGAAACCTCTTGGGTCAGTAGGTTGTGGCCAGCCAGCATCTTACTCGTTGGGACAGAGACCACTTTCATTTATTTTTGGGTAACACCTATTTCATTGCGGCCCACTCTAGAATGTAGTTAGTCATAACCAGAGTTTAAAAAAAAAAAAAAAAAAACCAAACACCAAATTTGTGCCTGTGGCTGAACAACCTAACCAACCTTCTACAGTTTCCACAGCTATTCAGAGTGCTTAAAGGAATGGATCTCAAAAAAAGATGGAAACACTGGTATTTTTCACAAATATTGCCAATATATATGGTACATGCTCATTATTAGAAACTATCATTAAAGTCTCTCTAAGTAATGTGGAACAATGCATAAATGAGCTGTATGTTCTATTTAAGTATTTGTTGCTTTAAATAGCAGCTCCAGAGACCCAGCACTGGAGTAGCAGACACGTTGCTGGATGTAGATGAGGTTTCACTGGCAGAGCTCTCCAGCACCTGGCTTAGAATGTTGTTCCCCTTAAAAATGCCAAAGCTGCATACCTTTTTACTTCTGTACTGTAGTTTTTAACATTATGGTGGGTATGGCCTGCAGCTGAAGTTCATCATGGATACTTTGCATCTGGCTGGTACAGATTGAACAGGCCTTTAGTCTTACTCTTCTCATTTTTTTTTCTCCATAATTCTGAAGTGGAGGGATTACAGTTTTCTGGTGTGTTTTTGTTTTGAAATGTTATTCCATTTGTTTGCTGAATCGGTAACTTGCCATAGCTTCCTTATTTCTTGGACTTGTAGTTGATGCTGTAAAAGTTAACTTAATTTCACTACAAATAAAAAATAGAATTGCCATTCAGTCACCACTGCCTTCTATTTTGAAAGTATACTTGCATGATGTGCTTATGCACGTAGTACTTTTAATTTCCAGCTTTGGTGCCAACACGAGCCCATTCTGTTTATTCCCCACAGTGGGAGCTTTGTGTGTTTTGGGGAGGATTTCTGTTCTGCAGCAGCAGCAGTTTTAGCAGCTGCATGCTTTGAGGCCCCCGTCTCCTCTGGCATGAGGTACACCAGTGAACTGGGAGAAGGGCAGAGTGGGAGCCAGGTTGGACTGTCCCCGTTTCGTGTCTTCTGCAAACTGAAGAGCCATCGTCGAGCAAGGCAAGGTGACTTTCAGCCCCTTTCTGCAGGGCTGAGGGCAGTAAGCCTGAGCTCGGGTGTTGCAGCAGATAGTCATGGCAAGGAAATGATAAGCTGGGAGTCTTTTCAAGACACTTCTTCAAAAGGATTTGGGTGTCTTTGATCGACCACTCTGGCTGTGACACTCTGTGGAGTTGTATCAGGTATGCGTGTCTTCAAACACACACATGAAACCCACTTCTCCGGGTTGGACAGTCATTGATGCTGGGAAGAAAATGGCACGTGGTGGTTTGGAGCCTAAAGGCACATACAAACAAGTGAAGTTTGCCTGGATGACTCAAATGTGGCACGTGTGCATTTTGAATCCCTTGGCAAGGGCTAAGAAGAGCCATCCATCTTGTACAACTGCTTGCTAGAAAGCAGAGGGGCCCTCTGAACATGACCACAGCCCCTTGCAGGGCTGAGGAAACACCAGGAAAAAGTGGCCTCGGTGTGCTCGAGCCCCTCGAAAATGGGGGTGTTGAAGGGTGAGATTGCTCTGGATCTGCAGCAATGGGACCTGGAAGAGAGGTTCCCTGCTCCTGGCCGCCTGCTGGTGTCCAAAAATCCCTCTTGTGGTTGCAGCTGCTGGGTTAAGCACGGCAGCCATATGAAGCTGCTGACTATTGCAAGGAAGAGCCTGGCCAAGGACAGTGCTGCCTTATGTATAAAAATAAGGCTTATATTTATATTTTTATATTTGACTTTTCTAAAAGTAGAAGGGAGGGAAGGTGAATCCAGCTTCTTTGAAAGTCGATGATACTGTTGGCAGCAAGGAAATAATCAGCATCAAGCTAGATCCCTTTCAGGATTTATTTAGTACCTTTTTCCCTGTTGAGTAAGGCAATTACGTGCTTTTGCTGTGCCTCTTGGTTTTTATCTTGGTGGACTCTCAGTTGTGTGTAGAAAAGAACGAAAATACACAACAAATTCTGTCTCTAATTACGTGTAAACATTGAAGGCAGTATCAGTTAAGTGTGATTTGGTATTATTTTCCTTGCAGCTGTGGATTTTTTTTCCTTGCCATCTTGCATGTGGAATCACAGCTTTCACATTTGCAAAGTGTGTCTAAATAACTGTGAAGTTGCATTTCTTCTCCGGCTTTCTTCAGTGCAAGATGGTGCCATTGTATTTTGGGTCCTTCAAGCTCAGCTGTCTTTTGCTTTGTTTGCAGCAAGCCAAGTATTTCCAGATTCTGTCTCTACAGCCCAAAATATTTAGAACTGCTAATGTAATTTTTTGTTTGTTGTTTTGAGTTTGTTGGGGGGGGTTTGTAGCTGTTGTCTTTTTATAAAGCCTTCAGCACAGCCATCCCAAAGTGTGGCTGAAACAGTTTTCCCTACCCCCTTTAATTCACTCAGAGTCTTTAGTAGTATAAAAAGTTTCGTAGCGCAAAAAAATTAGATCTTTTTGTACGTGTGTTTATCATAAAGGGCACCTTAAAAGGGACGGTATGGTTCTGGTGAATTTAAATGAACCTGTACAGCTTGTTTTGAAACAAAACCTCCAGCTTGTCTTAGAAACAAAATAGGTTTTTTTCTGTATGTTAAAAGCAAACAGTTCTGGAATCTGTGCCCTTCTTGTGCAGGTTTGTATTTTCACTACGGAGCGAGTAGAGTATATTGCAGGAAACAGAGCCTTATGGTTGTAATGCCTGTTCTGCTGGGTGAAACATGTCAGGACCACGAGCTGCACAGAGATAGCAAAGAGCAGGATTAAGGAATTGGGAGCGGTTCCTCCTCATCCCCGTCACTCTCATCCTTAGCGTGTGGGAAAGCTAGAAACTGACGTGCTTAAACCTAGTGACTTTTGATAAACAAGACAGTCTGCTTCCACTTAAATGCTGCTCAGCTGGGAGGAGAGGACTTAAGAAATTCTGGAGTTTTACAGGAAGTCTCCCAGGTTTCTATTGCAAAAGTCAGACAGGGAAGCTAAAGGCGGTGATGGAATGACTTGTCTTTTTTTTCTTACTTTGCAGTTGGCCTGCTGCTGCGGTACTGCCGCTTGTTCCTTGTGCTGCAGATGCTGCCCCAAGATAAAACAGTCAACCAGCACCCGCTTCATGTATGCGCTTTACTTCATCCTGGTGACTATCATCTGTTGTGTCATGATGTCAACAACAGTAGCAAACGAAATGAAAACACACGTAAGTAAGACAGCTGAACCCACTGCGGCCCCTGGAAGGAAAGGGGGCTCCTTCCACAGCTCTTCATGTATAGGGGCACTCCCTCCGAAGAGGCGGTCAGTTCCCTCCACCCATACACTTCCAAACCCAGACAGGATGATTTTCCACGCTCAGCCCCTTCCTGTCAATTGCTCACCCGTCGAGTGTGTTTCACAACAGGAAGAGTCAAGGATCACAGGACTAGCAGCCTTCCTCTTCTTTCGTTGTGCGGAAACCCGCTGCAGTGAACCCATCCCACGTTTGCTGTGCGGGTAGCGTCAGTAGAAGCTGTTAGGGAACATGTTATAGCACAACAAATTGCTTCTGTCTAACGTTGAGTTTGTCTCTGGCAACTTGTTTAGTAGCAGAAGCAGCAAATTAGAAAATAACTCTTCAAGCGTTACATTTATAATTTTAATTCTGTGTTCTTGGTGTTGTGTGACAGACTACTGCAATGCACAATGCTGCGGATCCTTTACAAGGGATTTTCTTTGTTGTGTGTTGAGTCATCTTGTTCACATGGCTTTTAACCACAGCAGATATTGTTCATCTCTAATTGTCTTTTTAATTAAAAAGCTTCAAAAGCATGGAAAGAGCTGTGGCTAAAACTTGATTTTAAAACTGAAGTTTCTTTCAGAGTCTTAATATAACTTTCCTAAGCTAAATGCTCACCAGCCTGCCTGTGGTTACACACTAGACCTGTTGTACCACATCTTTGGTTTGATTTTTTTAAGCCACCCAAGTTGCTCTCAGTAGCACAAACCCTCTCTCTCACCCTTTACAAACTACAAGAAGTCTGGTTTTAAGTAGAGGGAACAATGGCTGGATTGCTCAATTCTTAAAGACTAAGGTTTTCCTGCTTCCAGGCTGTGAATGTGCTTGCCCTGGAGGTGCAGAAGGCTTCCCTCCCTGGGAGCATCTAGCTGTTTTGTGTTACCCTCCCAAAAGGGAGTGCCGGTGGGTGCATAGTTAAGGCTGTTTCCTTGTTTAACCAGTTGTTGGTCAAGTTGATGCCCTGCTTACCTTCTGCGCTTGACTTTCAGTTGTCTGTGAATCCCTCCGCAGCAGCCTGGATCCAGAAGCTGGTGGTAACACCTTGTGCCTGCAACACAGATGAAACAGCGGGCTTATGATGGGGCTAGTTTGAGGGCGTTTGTGCTCTGCTGCCAGTGACCTTCCTTTCTTTCCATTGTACCCTCTTTGTATGTCCTGTCCTAATTTTCTTTCATTTAATAGCGCTTTGCTTGAATTATCTAGTGCCACCTTCTTACCCTTGGCCACCAGAAGTTGTTGACAGCCCTGTAAGAGCAGTCAGTACAAACATGATGCTTGCCTGTGAGCTGCGACTTAAAAACTGTTCAACATGTGCGTGCTGAAATTGCTTGCCAGGAATTACTTTGACTTACTTAGCTTGGCAATAAAGCGAATAACCCAAGGAACTCAAGTGTGGGAGACAAATTACGAGCTCATATCCAAATTTCATAAAGTCATTTTCCATTAGTAGTGTGGTTTTAATGCAGCTTGTATCCCTAACAAAAAATACTCACTCTTTATCCAACAGGAAAGTGATTCAAGAAGCCTTCAACAACATGCTTTTCAGTATTGCCAAATTTCTTTTCCAGTTCATAGTCTTGAAAGCTCGGTGTGGGAAGAAATGGCACAAAGAGTAGCTGTTAGTGTGAAGTGGAAAGATAATCACCCTCTTAATTTAGAGCATTTGATGTCTTTGAATGGGAAATGTACCATCTGAAAGTAGGCTTTCTTTGTCTGCTCTCTAATTTAATAATTATGTTTGGGGCTGTTAAAAGTTCAAAGACTCCTGAAGCTAATTCAGCCCAGTTGTAATAGAGTGCACCTTCAAAATATTTTTTCAGACTAACCAGTCTCAGCTCCCAGTGATGAACTGTGTTTTGAAAGTGCTTGGCACTTACCGATTCCTTCACTTTTCGCTGGATTGTGGAGCACTCCTAGCTCCAGAAGTCAGACTGTAAGCAAACACTTTGCATAATGCTTCTGGGTTTTCACCCTCTATTTCTTGTGAGGAGAGAGAACTTTAATTTTACTTATATTGCTTTAATTTTTGTATTAAAATAAAAAATCAAAATTTAAATTTTTAGTGCAGTCCTTTATGGAGCCATAGTCCTGGCGGGGAACCGTGTGTCTGCTTTAGCAGTTTAGAGATCAAATGCTTGTGATGATGTTCCGTGAAAGGAATCTCTCCCTTGTGAGTGAGAGGGTTTTTTTGTTCATTGGCTATAAAGTCCCAAGTCTAAAGTAGTTCTAAAAGTATTTATTGTAGCACTTGGTCCTTCGGCATTATTTTGAGAGGAGGCAACAGCAAACGTACATCTCTGATGGTCACCTTAAACACAGACTTTTAAAAAATGTTTGGTTTGCAGTATTTATCTACCCCCATGGTCATGCATTCTGTCTGTTAGAACACGTTTAGGACAGTTTTTTAGTTCCTAAGAAGGCAGACTCTGCAGGTGCCAGCCCAAAGCTGAGGACCTGCTCTGGGCCCTGCAACATGGCTGGAAAAACAAGGTACTGTCCCAGGGAACCCGACTTCCGTATCCTCACCAAAGCTGGCAGGGAGATGAAACCGTGCGTTAGTGGGAGGACATGGTACCTGTGGAGTATTTGGTTATGGTTTCAAAAGCTTGGTTCCTAATCTAACCAGCAGCATTTTGAGGAAATCGTATTTTGTGGTGAGCCTTAAGAATTTAACAGTGTCTTTTGCTGGGGGGGTGGATGCTTGGTGGTTCTCTGTTGTTTTCACTCATCTTCCCCATCCCCTGAACTGTTCCTGCACCCACAGGACACCAAGGGAGAGAGGCCCAAAGGGTTAAATTCTGAAAAATGTGCAAAGAAACCAAGGCATTTGTGTTTGATCTCTGGGGAAGAAGCAAGAGGCACTGGGGAGGTAGGGAAGGAATGGGTTGTTTTGACCAGGAAAATATTTTGAATAGTAGCATGTAGAGTAGATTTCAGAGGAGCAAGGTTGTGTTATCAAGGCAAAAGATGGGGCAGAGCATACATCAAGACACGAGAGCCTCAGTGATGGGGACAGAAAGACAGAAAAGACCCATATGCAGTTACACAAAATGGTTGAGAGACTTGACTCTGTTCCATAAGGAAACAAAGCAGGACCCAACTTGAAGTGCATCTATGCCTTGATCCATTTTTTTTCCCCAGTTATTCTGTTTTGTTTTTTTTTTTTTTAAAAAACAGGTACAGCTTTACTTACAAATGTTCTGTTCAAGCAAATCCTTGCATTTCACAGGCTTTCAAAGGATAATTGAGAGAAGAAAAGGGACAGCATTGTTTTGGTCTGTTAAAAATTTAATTTAAAAAAAAAATCAAAACATTATTTCAATGTTAAAGGTGTTTCAAAACTAGTGGTTTCAACCTGAAAATAACCATGTCCTACTTAAATAATGAAAGGAAAAATAAGAAAGATGTTTTCAGGAAAACAAACACCAGTAAACATCAGTTCAGTTGTGTCAAAGCATTTCAGTTCTACACGGTTACATGTTCTGGCAGAGCATACTTTCAGCCATGTTTCCCCAGCTGGGTTTATATCTTGGCCTTGAACTGCATTATAGTATGTTAAAACCCAAATATGCTACCAAAAAATGAGTTTTTTTAAGTGCAGATGCCCATTGCCTATTTCTAGTAGGAATTTAGCCACAGATTGCAGGATGGCATGTGTTTTGGTCTGATTGTTTTTTGGTTTTCTATTCCATTTCTCAACTGTTCAAGACAGGCGGTTTTACATGTGTTTTTGCCCTTGTCTCCCCACCTACACAGATTTTCTTTCATGCTTCCTCCATTTCCATAAGAAAGTTTGTTTACCATATTTTCCCTCTGTTGTATGAGGACATCCAGATGAAAGCAGTCTCCTTTGGGCTCTTTAGGCCCATTTCTACACACTTATTCCTTCCCATTCCCCCTCTGATGCTATTTCCCATGCTCCTGCATTCACGTGTTTGGGTGCAGACAGACGGACCCAAGCTCAGAGGTGGCCAAGCCCCAGCTGGCTGGAGTTTGGACATGGTGTGGTCCTGTTGGCTTGCTTCTTGCACTGCATTTATTTCGGGCGCCAGCAGCTTGCAGTGAGGGGAAAGCAAGTTCAGGGCAGCCTGTTCCTGCTTCTGTAGATGTTGCTATCGTCTCAAAGGGTTTCACTGCACTTGGAAAACTACTGACACTGCTGTGATAACATCATTGCTTGCGCAGCAGCCGAGGCGTTTATGTTATCTGAGCACATACTGAGTTTCTGTAGCAAAAATGTTTTGTCCCCTACTCAGAGACTGAAGAATTTAGCTTACGTTGCGTTTAAAGGTCTAAAAGTAGATATTCCACTGTATCAAACTTGGCAAATAACTAATCTGTCACTTTAACAGCTGGCAAAACTATCCAGCAAATGGAAAGTCTGGTAAATCACATAAGCTGGGCAGCAACTGAACATGTTTGGGAGGTACAAAATTTTTTTAAAGAAAAAAAAAAAAGTCGTCTTTAACTTTCAGTGAAGAAGTCACATAAGCCTTGATAAATTGTTCCCAGCAGTAGACCATCCTCTCACGAAAACATTCCCTTTTCATTACATCAGCCCTTTTGTCCCCAGCATTGTGCTTGTGTTTACTATCTGCCAGGATCCCCAAGAGTTTGGGTTTATTCTTGTTTTGTTCCTTCAGGATCACGGGTCTCCAAAAAGGGCATTCGATCCCACAGGACTATTCCTGTGGCCATCACTTATTACTGCATAGTGTTGTGCATACTACATGACGGCTGAGCTCTTTGTTGCTTATGTAGGCACAAACTGAGCTATTGTTCTTGTGAATCCATCTATTTTCTCTCAGCCAGATCTGTAAGGAAATTACTACTAAATGGAGAAAAGAACATATAGGGTCAAAAATCCCATCCAAATCTCCGTAGAAACCTATGCAATTAAAGTAGATGCCCATTTACAGTTACCCAGAGATCTGTTTTTAATTAGCTAGTCAATTAATCAAGTTCCATGGTATTTTTTTGTTTTGTTCTGTAAGTCTCATCAGCAAAATGCTGCTTGGTGCCAAGTACAGATGTTACAGAAGTCTCTCTCCTTGGTCACGACAATCATCTATATCAAAAAATACCTAATCTTCTCAGGAATATTGTTAGTTCAATATTATGCATCTTTTTAATCTCTGCTGACTGATGGTTATTATAAGCAAAGAACCGGAAAGCATTAATTGACAGCCCAGTTTGCATTGCTGTGGCCCCTTGGCTTGCCCTGGCATCACTGTGGCATTGATAGGTCTCTCTGTTATTCCAGTCAGTCCATTTGCTTGTTTTGAGTGCTGGCACATTTGCCCCATCTGACGTTGCATTGCCTTTCAAGACCTGGGAAAGGCATTGCTGATGCTCCAGACAATTTCTCAGGAGCTCTTTAAAAACTCCTGGGTGCGACTTAGCCACAGCTACTCGCTTACTGTCCAGCTACTTCCACAGTGGCTACTCATCTCTGAAAGAGCATCTGAGTGGTCCATCTTGAATCCATTCCCGTAACACCACACAGCTGCGTTGAGACCTGCCGTTTGTCTCCTTGGCTGATTCTAGCCCACCTAGGATCAGCTTGCTACCATAGTTAGGTTTGCTACCCTTAGCACAGCAACTCGGTGTTGCTGTGAGCTGCTAAAATACTTGCTCTTTTTGGGAAACTGCGAGGAGGGTTGTTGAGCTCCTGAGTGCTTTGGGTTGCTGGCAGAGGATGGGAAGTTGCATACCCTGCTGAGGGAAGCTGGCTTTCAGAACCTGGTGGCTGGAAGCCAGCAGTTTACGTGTTTATCCCTTTTTTTCCTGCATCTCAGATGGCTTTCTACCCAGCTGGGAATGCTGCCTGATCGCTTGCTCTCGAGTCCTGTTTGTTCTCTCCCTGTCCTGGTTTTGTGTACTGAGCTGCCTGCCGAAGGAAGGAGAGACTCCTATCTTTGCCAATTTCTTGGAAATGTTCAGTGATGGTGTTCCCACAATCTTTGTATATTTTTCCTAAGCAAAATCTGGCCTGGCTGAATCTTTTTATGGTCTGATGCCTGTTTCCTTTGCCCAAGTTATTTATTTGTGCATGTTGTGTCCTGGCACAAATTGTCTTCCGTCTTCTCCAGTTACCTGTGCAGGTAGCAGCGATCGGCTTCAGCGGGTTTGATGTGTTGCTCGACTGGTCTCACCAGCCTCAGCTAAGGGCTGTGAGCGTACAGAGAGGCCTTTCTTTCTTTGAAACAAACAGGGTTTTTCTAATTAAATGCCTGTGTTTCTGCGCAGCTGAATAGCTCCCCGGCTGTGAGGGGAGGTGTCTGCACAGAGGCACCCCACAGGAGTGGGTCCTGGCCACGTAGACCTGCTTTTTTGAGCACGCAGCATCATGTCTGCCTGGTGAAACTGAAGCCAAAATGTGCAGCTGTTTGCTTTCCCCTTGTGGCGAGAGCAAGGCCTCAAAGGCAAATATTTAATGAGTCAAGAGAAAGGTGGAATTTTCCTGCCTCTCTGTTAATTTTAAACAAAACTAGGGCAACTAGCACGACTCCTTCTCGGAGGCTGGGATGTAGGGAAGGGGGCTTGCTGTCCCTGTGCAGCTTGGGTGTGCTTCGGTCTACATTTCCACCTAGGGCAGCACGAGCCAGATCTTTCAGCCCTGCAGCCCTGTTCATGCCCCTTCAGCTGGTAAAACCACTGGTATGGCTCATGTGAGATGGATTGCTGAAGCAATCAAAGTCTTTTTCTGTAAAGCATGGGAAGAAGGGAGAGGGTCCCCGGGGTGATGGGATAAGCAGTTAGGGGCAGGGATGGCTTAAGCCAACAGAGCTGAAGGAAAGGGAGGCGGACTTGTACCCCAAAGCATCTGGAAGGAGTTGAGAGTGGAGGCTCTGGAAAACTCCAGTCCCTTGTATTTTACATTTATGTCCCTTGAACCCTTAAATCCAGGCTGAGGGCTATCAAGACTGAAAGGTGTTAAGTGAAGCCAGTGAAAAGTAGGTGGTGTGTAGATGTAGACGTGCTTGGTTACGAGGAGCCCTGTGTCCTGTCTAACAGCTTGTAACGTATTGTGCTTTTCAGATTCCTTTCTACAAGCAGATGTGCAAGGGTATTCAGGCGGGTGAGATGTGCGAGAAGTTGGTGGGATACTCTGCAGTGTACAAAGTCTGTTTTGGAATGGCCTGTTTCTTCTTTTTGTTCTTCTTGTTCACCATCAAAATTAACAGCAGCAAAAGCTGCCGAGCATACATTCATAATGGGTGAGTATTTGTTTGATTGCTTCATTTCCACTTCTGTTTACAGGTTTGTGCTGCCTGCTTTCCAGTTGAGTGTAGTACCAGGCAAAAAAAAAAAAAAAAAAAGCCAAAACAAAACCCAGTTGATTTTACAGTTTTTGTCAGAAATAATGTAGTCAAGTGAAAACTAACTAAAGTGACAGTTAGTCATCAAAGGCTCTTTTTTCTCTTGTTGGACTTTAAATAGAGATTTCTCATGGTACTTGAGTTGAAGACCTCTAATTCCTATTACAACCAGATGATTTATTTTTTTTTCCTCTTCTTTTGTCCAGATTCTGGCTCATTAAACTTATACTTCTGGCAGCAATGTGCTCAGGAGCCTTCTTCATTCCTGATCAGGACACTTTCCTCAATGGTATGTCCTTCTTGCTTTGTTATGCTGCTTTGTTCTGTACTACCTTGTGCATGGTTATAAATCCTAAAGGTCTGTAAGGTAAAAGATCAATGTGAATATTGCCATATTTCTTCAAGTAAAGCCAGTATAGTCCAGGTACAAAAGGAATATTTGGAGCTGTATGGGGGTAACTCTGTGTGCACAGAGTACATGGTCTTCATGTCAGTGTGCAGTAAAGAGCATGGTTTTTTTCTGACCCAAGAGTGGCCCAAAAGGGTAGGTAAAAATACCACTGTGGTGCTGTCTTGCAAATTCTTTTAAGAAGCAGGGAGCTGTAATGGTGCACAAGAAATTGTTCACTCAGGAACGCAGAGCTGTGTGTTAGTTTGGCCTGTGCAGGTAGCTCTGCTGTAGCACAGCAGCAGAGGACCATGCTGCGTGGTGGAGAGGTGCCAGTGCTCAAGGGGGGATGGTGACCTGCTGGGCACTGGTGGTGGCTGCCTAGAAACCTGCAGTGCTGCAAAAGCATTCAGGGTATTGTTAGCTTTCAGGCTGGTGACGTAAATGCAGCAAGGTAGAATTAGGCTTCTTGGGGCATGTTGCCAGTGCTCTGCTGAGCACCCTGCCGTACCTGAAGCATTTCCAGTTTTGGAAGATGCTGTGGCACCGCACAGGAGTGCTGGTACTGCCCCAGTGCTTAAATGCCAACTCTGTTGAGGGCTTCTCACAGGCCTCTTGTGGGCTAGGAGCAAAATTCCCAGTGATGCTGAGATGAGTTTGTACTCTTCAGTTTTCCAGGTGCTTGTAAGCCCTAAAGTTGTTGAGTCTGGGTGGATGGAAAGGGATGGGATCAGTAGTGCAAAGGGGCGGTTGTGTCTGCTGCCTGCTTCCACTAAGTCTTGCTTGGTTACCTGTGTGTTCAACACCAATCTCCTCTGTCCGGGGTGTTTAAAAAGGGAAGAGGCAGGAGGAACATGGGGGAAGAGAATACAGTGGGCAGACATACTATGAGCACAGTACTTTGGGAAACTAAGGTAAAAACCACTTCAGGTGAACCACTGATAGGTGCAATTCAGCTTCTTGCTCTTACTAGCTGTTTGTTTGGTCCTGGTTCAGTCTGATGCCCCAGAAGTCAGGGCTCCTTATCCGTTTGTGAAGTCAGGGGATGGCTGTATGTGCTTGTCCATAGTATCTAATCACTGGATTAGAAAGATGTAGCGGTGCAATGCATTGTACTCATGAGCAAGCAAGATTGCCTGTCATCTTTGCAAGTAACCTTTTTCATGGTGAACAGTTGTCAAGAAAAGACGTGCTTGGGCAAAGGGGGAAACAGAACTTTTTTGTGGTGATTAGAGTGCTGTTTCTCAACAGCAGTCTAACCTAGTGTGGAGATAAAGCATAACAAGCTTTCTAGCCCCAAATTAGCTCTTGACTGTTCTGTCTAAAGCTGTATTCTGCACATCCTGCTTAAATCTCCTCCAAGTAGCCCCTGAATTTGAGATTTACAGGTGGTGTGGGTATTGTGTCATTTTGTTTTCCCTTTTTTTCCCCCCAATCAAGAAACTTGCACTGTCTTTATTTGTTGGGGTTTTTTTTGTTTTTGAGCATTCTCCCAGTTTGCTTTTTTTTCCTTAAAAAAAAAAATGCTCTTTCCATGTTTAACCTGTTTAGCAGTTCGTTAATCGCGAAGGAGGAGTATTACGTGCAAGCACTATGTTTATGCGGGCTGTAGTGTTAAATTCACGCTGGCCAGGCTAACCTTACCTCTGATGGATCCATAAACTATCCTACAGTGTCCTGCCTGTGGCAGTGGGAGATCCTGAGAGTCTGGCTATTTAATTACTTACTCCACTGGCGGTCTACTTTTTCTGACTCTGCCTCTCCCAAACACACATGCATACCTTATTCTCTGCCTCTTTTTGTATACTTTTTTACATGCTAGCTTCTACTGGTTTTTGTTTTATTTGTTTGAAGAACAGCATGCATATCAAAGTGCAAACAATACATTTAGTAAAACCAGACAAACGGCGTTTTTGCTTGCTTTCATAATGAGCTTATGGTACAGTAAAAAAAAAAAAATAATCTCTACATCATCTGCTAAGGATACCATGCCCTGACTGTTCTGCTCTTTCACTTCACTTACACAGGCTTTTTTCAAAAGGAAAACACAATGGTAGGATATGGCTGAACTTTGCTAGTGCACTTCCTTGGTCTTCTTCACTGAAATCAGCTGGACACCTGGAGTCATTTATAGGCTACGCCCTGCACAGCAGCACAAGCTGCGTGCGCAACTAGACATTTAAATAGGTATCTGTATTTCCTCAGAGACTTCTGGTGTTGCACATAAGAGATCTGTTGTCTGAAGTATCCAAACAGCTACCCAAATATAGTATATATGTAGGTCAGTGGTGGTTAAGTAGTCAAATAACCTGTCTTAAAACTAGTCAGTGAATAGCAACTGTTCCCATCTCTTTGGGAGTGGCTCAGGACAACATTCATAAATGGATAAGCCCCACCTTTGTTTTTCTGTGGTACTGGAATCTGGAAGGGAAGAAATTGCCCTTTTTAGTCCTGGGTTCCAGTACCTTGCAATTTCAGGGCTTAGATTCCTGCGAAATGCCTTTACACCACCTCCCTCCTGCCAGTCACAAATAAAGGTTTCAGTATTTTCTGTCTGAATGTAGTAACTCATAGTCTCCACAAAAATTCTGTAGGTTAGGGAAACTCAGTAAATGTCCTAATAGGCTTACTTTGAAAGTGTAGCAGGTTGCAAGCTGAATTAATCAGCGAGCTAATCTTGAGTTAGCTGAGCTGGCCTTTCAGCTCAAATCTCTCATCTGCTGCTACATCTGTGGGCTTGAGATATTCAAACCGCATAATGGCTTCACTGCATAGACAATAATTCCATTTTATCTCAAGGGAAAGGAGACTGCAGTTTGACCTATTTTCTGCCTCTCTGCCTTGCAGCCTGGCGCTACGTAGGAGCAACAGGAGGTTTCCTTTTCATTGCCATTCAACTCATCCTGCTTGTTGAGTTCGCACACAAATGGAATAAAAACTGGTATGTGTTGGGCAAGTAGTTATTTGTATAAAATTCTGGTGGACTTCTGAACAATACATTTCTCGTTTCAAATTTAGAAGTAGCACGGGCAAAATTTCTGAAAGAAGACACTTTATGTCAATATTTAGATCTGTTCATCTTTGCTTCATCCACTTTCTCCTTCCCCAGTGGAGATGTTTCTTCCTTATTCACTTCTACTCTGCTGACTTATTCTTGATCTGAATTGCTTGGCTTCCAATAAGTAGTAGGGGGTTGGGATGCAAAAATCTTGTACTTTAAGTTGTTTTATATTTTATATAAAAATATACCTGCTAAGAAACAGAATGGTGCAAGAGAATAAAACTGAATTTGCAAAATGTAACATTGAAACTGAATGCAGTGATGTAAACTGGTAAATCCTGCTTTTTTGTGTCAGCTTAATACACATCAATTTTATTTTTTTCTGTACATGAGAACTGCGACTTTCTCTTCAACTTCTTCGCTTTCATCAAAATATGCAAGATTCCATTATCAACCCACATATACCCAATTTTGGCATTGACTTAATTTCTGGTTTAAGCATGTTTGCTCTTACCTTCCTAGCCCTTAGCCTCTCATCAATTTAAAATATTTGAATTGTCCTCCCACATACACGCAGGAACTCCTGTCTCTCCCTCCACCCTTTCTGTCTCTCATTTCTATCTCTACAAACCTTTGCAGTCCCCTTTTGTTCTAGCTAGCATACTGACTGCTAAAAAAGAGTTTTGGCAGACCTTTGGGCTTTGTTAGATACCCGTTTTCAGGGAGGAAGAGGTGAGATCACCTTATACCACAGGTATTTTTACTACTAATTACAGTAGGTGCTTTTCTATGGATGAAAGATTTCCAGCAGCGGCATTTAACTTTAGCACTCACTACATTAGATAGTATTTTAAAATAAGTCATGTTCCCACAAAACAAAAAAAAAAAACAAAACCAAAAAAAAATCCCCCAAAAAACTTCCATACACCAAAAAACCCTTTGTGCCAAAACAAGTCTTTTAGTTGCTGCTCCTAAAAAAAACCCCAGTGATCATTGCAAGAGGTGTTTAGAAGGTGAAGAGAGGAAAACAAGATGGACCACACTTTAACTGAGGGAGACTGAGGAGATAGACCCGAATGGAGAAGAGGCTTTTTGAGTGAAAGGGTAGTAAAACTGTTGAGGTAGCACAGAGGGCAGAAGAGAGGCCATGCCACGCAATATGCCTTTGCTGTCCCTGTGTGAAGAACACCGCTCACTGCTGAGGAAATCCTTCAAGGATTGAGCTGAGATGCGCTGATGGGGCTGATCCCAGAAACTGGAAGCTGTAGGAGTCACGCTGGGCTATAATTATGGAAACAGCTGGGCAAGATAATACAGAAGATAAACCCTAATGCTAAAGAATGTTTCTCTCTGTTTCATGGGAGGAACCTTGCAACGGCCTGTGTTGGTGTAGTGACATACATATGCTTCGGGAAAGTAAGCACTGCCTTTTGTGTTTGAGGATATGAACGATTCCGCTATTAGAATTTTATTTTGGGGGGAAGGGAAGACAAAGATAAGGTGCTTGTCTTTTTCTCCCCAGGACTGCAGGTGCAAACCACAAGCAGATGTGGAATGGTTTGCTTGCCTTGGTTACTCTCATCTTGTACTCCGTTGCTGTGGGAGCCCTGGTCCTCATGGCTCTTTTCTACACACGCTCAGAGGGCTGCATGTACAACAAAGTCCTGATCGGTGTTAACGGTGGCCTGTGCCTCTTTGTGTCACTAGTGGCCATATCACCCTGTGTCCAGAATCGTGAGTCCACTGACCTCTTCTCCTCCTGGGTTTCTGGTGCTGCTACAGTTGTGTGCTTGGAGGCATGAGCTGTGTTCTGGTCAGAAAGTCTCATGATAGTTCAGAGCTGGTGCTGCTCTTGCCCCCTCTCCCTTTATCTACACTATGAAGTGCTGTTGCTGGTCATCAGCTCAGCTGCTAAAACTGCAAGAAGTCTGAGTCATTTTGCGTGTGCCATCAGGCAGCCATTACTTTAAAGACGGCTCACGTGTTGGTGACTGGTAATGTGTTGTGGAGCTTACACAGCTCTTGCAGTGGTGGCAGTTGAGTTAATAGAGTTAATAGCTGTCAAACTCATTCACCACTGTTTTACCATTTACTTTTGACTGCTTGTGATTTACCATCTGTAAAGTTTGGGTCTGGAGGAGTTTACAGCAGTATTTTATGCTTTGGTATATTTTATGTGTTCTGTTAGTATCTTGCATACGTTGGACCTGGAAATAGTAATTTTAATTACTCCAACACAAATTTTATGGGCAAATAAAATTGTCGTGGCAGCTTGTCAATAGCTTTTGGAAAGCTGGTGCTTGTGGTGGGAGCAGAAGGGTGATTCTTTACTTACGTGGGAATCTTTAATGCCTTTCTAAAACAGCAAGCAGAACTAAAGGACAGACTCTTTTCTCTTTACATGGCAGTGGAAATGTATCTAAAGTGCCTCAAAGACTTACAAACTGCCTTTAAGTAAAACATAAAAGATACTTTTCTGAAAGATACTAGTGTGCTGTTCTCTAAAGGATATGAATGTCTTTTTCAGTTTGTTAAAATGTGTGAAAAAATCACTTCTTTTTCTTGTAAAGGCCAGCCCCATTCTGGTTTGCTTCAGTCAGGAGTTATCAGCTGCTACGTTATGTACCTCACTTTCTCAGCACTATCCAGCAAGCCACCAGAAACTAGTAAGTTATCTAATGCTTTATGTAAATTTTTTTAGACATGCCATGTATTAAAAGCAAGAATTTAGCAAGCCTGAATTAACGAATTCAGGGATATAGGAGTGCTGGGTTTGGACTGTTCTGGCTTATGCAGAAGAAATTGCAAATACTAAAAATAAATCTGTGCTGCAGAGAGACCATGCAGCTCCCACTACATGTACCTTAAATGCTTTGGTCTAGGGGAGCTTAACTTACCTTGGGTGAGTTGCGTCTGTTGCACCAGAGCAATTCCAGCCTGTTTCCTACAGACCAGTTTCCCAGTCCTGTAGCCTGTCCGTTATGTGGCAAGTGCGTGTTCTTGTATGACAGGACATGACTAAATTTGTAACATGTTTGGTCACACGATGGGAAAGGAGTTGGAACAAATGGCTCTTGGATGCCTCTGGAAGAAGCTGGTGACCAGCTGCATCCAAAAGTTTACTAAGTCCCCCACCACTTAGTAAGTGCTGGCCATCAGAGTGGATACTAAAATCACTTCTTTTCTCCTAGAATTGGTATGCTACATAGCCTTAGCTCTGGACTTGTAGTGGAGCAAAAACTTGAGCGTCGCTTGTCTTCATTTTGAGAGGGAACATTCTGAGAAAGGACTTGGAGTTATGTCGCAGTTGTTTGAGATAATGCTGTGCTTCAGCAGGTTTTCTGTACTCTGCTTGCCTTCTAACCATTAGCTTTGCAAGCCAGGACTAGGGAACTCACCTGAGTTTGAAGTTCTTTATGCTACAAAAACACAGCAAGACTTTACAAGCACAACTCAAACTGTTTCCTTTTCCCAGGTAACCATCAGATTCACCTATATGGACAGGGAGCATTCTTTTCACTTACAGAAGACTTTTCTGATTCACATTAGTAATGCTAGAACCCCCGTCTTTATTTTTGCTCAACTATTAGTGTTAAATAGTTGGATCAACAGTAACTAGAGGGAAATAAGTCCATTGGCAGGAAGGAGAAGTTTTTGCAGACATGTCCCAAAAAGAAAGGGGAGAGATTGGGGAAAGAATCTCTCTCTGTCACACTTGCGTAGGCACGGGCATGCATACATAAATGTATTCTAGAGCTCAGAAGGAAAAACAGACAGAACTTACCTAATGTTGAGTCATTCCTCAAGGAGGGACTTTCAAATTGGCCATCTTGCAAACTGGCCACCTTGTAAACCAGGCTTGAAGAAAGTATTTATTTGAAACACCCAAAAAGCGGAGTTGCAAATGTCTTTAGAAGGAATGGGCAAACAAAAGGTAATGTCTGTTGAACCTGGGCTTATCACCATGTGCCTTAGCTTTTTGGTGCCACACTTAGCTAAAATGCCTGCCAAACAACCGACCTGACTTGCTGCAGATATGTCCCTGATGGATGCAGGTGGGGAATTCTGCACGTCTCTGGCCAAGGTGTTCATGTGCCCAAAGAAGGGCAACACAGCTGGTGTGGGGTCTAGACCACAAGTCTTATGAGGAGCAGCTGAGGGAACTGGGGTTATTTAGTCTGGAGAAAAGCAGGATGAGGGGAGACCTTATCTCTCTCTACAGCTACCTGAAAGGAAGTTGTAGTGAGGTGGGGGTCGGTCTCTTCTCCCAAGTAACAGGCAATAGGACAAGAGGAAATGGCCTCAAGTTGCGCCAGGGAAGGTTTAAGTTGGATATTAGGAAAAGCATCTTTACCAAAAGGGTTGTCAAGCACTGGAACAGGCTGCCCAGGAAAGTGGTGGAGTCACCATCCCTGGAGATATTTAAGAGATGTGTAGATGTTGCACTTAGGGCCATGGTTTAGTGGTGGACTTGGGAGTGTTAGGTTGATAGTTGGACTTGATGATCTTAAAGGTCTTTTCCAGCCTAGATGATTCTGTGATTCTCTAAAGGCCTGTCATCCCTTTTCTTGCTCCCACCTTCTCCCTGTCCCTGCTGTTTGTGCAGCCCTGCAGGGCCACACAGAGTCCTCCCCCACCAGGTCTGGGGACTGAGTTTAGTTTATTTTTAACCTGGGTGTAGCCTTTGCTACATTTTTCCCCTCTGCCCCTACAAACAGTTGTGCTGTCCCAGGGGGATGCAGAGTGGCTGCTGGAAGGAAGAAGGAGATGGGAACACAGTTTGCCTTAAACAGCATTGGCTCAGAAGGGTCTTGATTTGAAATAAGGCGCAGCTGTTATCTCTTGCTTCAGGGTGATGCTGTAGGCTACTGCTCTGATTTGCTTTGACCCCAAGCAGACACCAAAAGCCAGATGCATCTTGGAACATCTGGAACTGAACTGGTTTCATTTCAGGGACCTAGAAGTAGTATTCTCGTAGATGTTAAGATAAAATCTTGCCTGGAAGCTAAAAGTAGTATTTGCTTAGATGTTAAGATAAAATATTGCCTTTAACTGGTGCGTCTCCTTTTCTTTGGTCTTCTCTATATCAGTCTGAGAACAGGGCAGCTACACACCACCTTTTTTCACTGAGTATGCAGTTCATAGTTGTCCTCAACGCACCCCTGCTGGCAAAGAAATTTATGGTCTCAGGTCTGTACTATCTTGGTGTTATATGGCTCTGTAGTCTTAGGTGAAGTGTTGGTAAACTTCCAACTTACTATTTCTTAGTTCGCCAGACAGTCTTTATCCTTGTCTGTCTGCTCTGGTCAAACAAGAAATTTTAGTACCCTACTAAGTTGCTTTTTTGTTTTCCCCAAAACACAGAATCTGCCAGGTCAGATTTACAGAATTTTTTTTCCTTTGATCTTTTTAAAAGATAGATAGAAACCACTGAAATGTACCTACCTAGTGTCTGAAGTAATAAAAATACTTCACTGAACACCTTCAGTCTGAAGACTACTTTGAAATGCAGTGAAATGAACTTTGCTAATTGTTCTCTTTGTTTCTTTTGTTTTGTGAAGTCCTGGATGAAAACAATCAGAACATCACAATCTGTGTCCCTGAATTTAGCCAAGGCTTGCACAGAGATGAAAACCTGGTTACTGGCCTGGGTACTACCATTTTGTTTGGCTGCATTTTATATTCTTGGTAAGTCCGGGGGTTTGCAGTTACCTCATTGCAAAGGCAGTGCTGTGGTCCAACTAGCGAAAGCTTATAGCAGGCCACATGCAGACAAAGTAACAGGGAGAAGTAGAATGGAAGTGAGCTGGAAGGTTCATATTCTCTGTAGTTTCAGAATGGTTAGATGTTTTAGCCAAAAGTGTTCAACAAGATAATACAACTCTTGAAACAAACAGATTTCATTAAAACCAAATAGAGCAATTTACATCTAGAGGTGAAGGGAAAAACTTGCCAGCTGTCCATTATCCCAAACAATCTCAGGATGCTTTGATGCTGTGTTTACTCTTTCTGTAAGAAAAACTCTGTGCAGTTACGTCGTCTAAAAAAGCTATCTGAAATTTCTGTAGCCTGCTGGCAGAGGCTGTGACTGTTCCTTGAGGGTCTTTAAAACAAACAAAACTGTTTGGGAGGGTTTAGGATTTCCTGTGAACAAGTGATGAGCGCAATAGTGCCATCAGGCTTTGCCAGCGATCTGCTGCTCTAAAAAAACTTGTTTGTGCCCATATAGTTGTGAAGCTCACCTTATATTATTGCAGCTCACATCAATAAATTAAGTCATGCTGTGGGACAGAGAGCGGCGGGGGGAGGAGGGAGTTGCTGATGATTGAAAGGTGAGGTATCATTTCTTTGGGCTGTGCGGGTTGCCAGGAGACAGCACTGCCTGTCTGCTGCAGGGTTTTAAGCAGCTTCTGCTTCTGAATTAGTCCACTTCAAAACTTGCATAATGAAACTCCTTCATAATTTTGAAGTGAAACAGAGAGACTTTCTGAAGAGGTACCACAGCTATTCTGCTATCAAATATGCACGTGTGTTCGATTTAATTCTGATATCTAATATATGTATATCACGTATCATGGATCTAGTTCATATTAGAACGGTATTTCCAGTGCTTCAGGAAGGTGTTTGGGGAATGCAGACAACCTTTACGTAGCCTGAAGGGGAAGTGCACCACATAGCTGGGGAGATAAGAAGGCCTTCAAGGGGAATGTTTTGAAGTATTGCTTACTCAGGCTCAGTGTGTACAGCAAAGCATTAACACACGTCTCCCTGTGGGTAGTGGGAACTTCGCATTACACAAGCTGAAAGGGGAAGACAGGGCAAGAAATGTTTCTAATCAAAAGAAACTAGAAAGGATTCCCCCCAGAGAACCACAGTCATGCAAGAAAGTGATTTCCAGCAACTGGTACACTGACAATAGTGGTTGGTAATTTATTTTTGAAAACTAATTGCTGCCAGTGACCTGTTACTTTGCTGGCAAAGTCTTTACAGAAATACTGAGCCAAAGTTATGGCTGTGAAGTTAATATAAAAGCATTGGTTCTGCACAGCAGGGGAGATCTCTTCTGAATTGCAAATTGGAGCGCTTAGCTCCTGTCTGATGGTGATGCATTCACCGCTTTTCAGGAGTGACCTACTTTTAAGCTGGTGATTCAGGCTGAGTTGGCCAGTGGCCGCCTGTCAAGCTGGTTTATACTCGTGCAGAACTAACTTTACACATGTTTAGTGCTTGATGCTATATGCAGGCAAATGCTTAGTTATCTTAGACATGGGAGTAGACTATTTATGTTTGCTGTGATAGTGAAAATTTTCCCTGTTGGGCATAGACTTACGCTAAGGGTTTTGACACTATCTTCTTTTGCTCCTAGTTTGACCTCAACAACACGTGCAAGCTCAGAGGCACTGAGGGGAATATATGCGACACCTGAAACTGAAGTGAGTCCTTTCTTCCTCCCACAGGATTTCTGTGCAGACTTCCTCATCTGTTTTTCTTGCTGTTGTTTTCATGGCTAAGTAATCTGTAATTAGGTGAAAACAAAAGCTTGTTTGTAGCATGCCTGCTACATGCTTCTGGGTATGGACTCTGAGTATGGACTCTTCAGAACATTTGTCCACGTTTGCCCTTCTGCAGCTCTTGCTGGTCCCATGGAGGCACCTTTATGTACTGAAATAATTTGCTGCTTTTGCAGTTTATTTAACGTCCTGCAGACTTCCTGAAAATCTTATTGTGCTCCACACAAGCTCATGTCCTCTCATTTAAAGGAAAAATCTGCAGGGAAGCTAGCAGATAAAGAAGTGTGGAGGCGTTCTCAAACATTTTCAGTCCTGGTTGCCTTTGTTCTCATAGCAACTGACTATGATCCCAAGTTCTTATCTCTTATTTCCACACCTAAGTACTTCCTTTCTTTTTGCCTATAATTTAATCTCAGATTATATTGTCCCTGTTTCAGCAGTGCAGGTTTCTTCATTCCACCTGCCTATTTCTTTGGCCTTCTTATCCTGGGAAAACCCAGAAATGCCACGAAATGAGTGGGTTTTTTGCTAAGTAACAGTTACCCCTTAGTTAGGCTTGCTAGTGTCACTCCTCAAATCCATGTGCGTGTTTGGAGGATGAATCTCCATCCGTAGCTCTCTCTACATTGGTGTTACTTACATCTGCAGTTCTAACTTCTATTTTTCAAGTCTTTAATCAGAGTGTTTGTGAGAATCCAAACATGCAGAACTGTCTGATGAGGCACTTGGTGTTTGCAGTAGCTGGGCTGGGGAAGCAAAACACGTTTCCCTGTGGGAGCGTGTCAGTGCAGGAAGAGCTTCCCTCTGGCAGGACACTGCGACCGGACGGGATGCCAGTGCTGAGGAGCCAAGCGCCTGGTGGCTCCTTGCACCGTCCCCAGGCCTCGTAGGTGGGCAGCCTGCCAGCAGGCTCAGCATCCAGCACCGAGAAGTGGCACCGGTGGCCTTGGGCAGATCTGGACAGGACCTGCGCCTTCCTATCCCGTGCTGAGGAGGGGCAGGCAGGGACAGGCATGGGGGGAACTGGAGAAAAAACAGCCGCCCATCATGCCCACCCACCTTCCTCTGCCAGCGTTACGCCATCGGAGGTCTTGCCCAAAGGGCTTGGGGCTGCGGGTAGGGTGGGGGCGGCTGTGACAGTATGGACGCTGGATGGAGCCCCCTCACAGGGAAGGTCCGGCTCGTCTGCTGCGGTGCTTGCCAATGGGATTATTTCCGGACCGTTTGGTTTTAGAGAGCAGTACAAGAACCACTGAACCTGAATATAAAGAAATGACTGGTGAAGAGCAACTAATTGCACTCTGATTGCCTTCCTCGTGGCAAAGGGCCTTTGTCTCCCAGACAGGAATGTGAATGTAGCTCTGCAATTGCGTGTGGTGTACAGAGGGTCTGTCGGCGTCTGTGCTGAAGACAACTGAGCGTTATGAGGGGTTAGTGGTGTGTGTGCCAGTGTTGCTAATTGCATCACTCTGTGTGTGCAAGGACTTAATTGCAGCTGATTAGAAAGTTTGAGGGAACCCAGCACTTGCTTCAGAATGAGAGTGTGGCCCAAGGGGAGCTCGGGCTGGAGCTGTAGGTGAGGCTTGGCACAGCAGTAGAAAGAAATACAGAATAAGGGTTTTATTTAAATTCTCAGCCAGTCTATTAAAAAAGAATGAGCTTTTTTGGCTTTTCATGAATTTCTGAACCCAGTAAGTACTTGTAATCATGGATATGCAGGGTAAAAACTGCCGTTTGATGTTTCCATCGGACATTTTACCTTGAACTCTTACTGTCTGATTTTTGAGGATGTTAGGAAAACTTGCAACTGGCACTTGCCGATCAAGGAGACAGGATAGAACACAAAATAGAGCATTACAAGGGTAAATATTTATTCATGCTCATGAGGCATTCCAGCCAAATTGGGGCACCCAGAACGTGGTTTTACACAGGGTCCCTGTACACCTCAACCATTCAGGTATAGCATGGTTTGACTAACACTCACACCACCATTTGATAGTCATAGTAAAACTTTACAAAGCAACTATATTTTTGTGGCATTCTTGCTTCTTGTCTATTGACCCAAACGTCCGTGGAGTCTATCTTGCGATAGTTACTTATCTACAATGCTGGGAGGGTTTCATAGAATCATAGAACCATAGAATGGTTTAGGTTGGAAAGGACATTAAAGATCATCAAGTTCCAACCACCCTGCCATAGACAGGGACACCTCCCACTAGACCAGGTTGCCCAAGGCCACGTCCAGCCTGGCCTTGAACACCTCCAGGGATGGGGCCTCAACAACCTCTCTGGGCAACCTGTTCCAGTGCCTTACCACCCTCAAAGTGAAAAATGTCTTCCTCATGTTTAATCTAAACCTGCCCTCTTCCAGTTTATATCCATTCCCCCTCGTTTCAAAGATATGTTAGAGAGGCTAGGATGCTGGCATTATCTTCGTTATCCATGCGTACCTTTTGTCCTTCATGGACAGCTCTAAGCTTCCAAGAAGCAAAGTCCTTATTTCCAGGGCTGGCCTGTCCTTTAGTTTGCTTTACTTAAGCATGAACAATACTGAAGCCTCCAGTAATACTCGACTACCTTATTACATTGCAGTGTATTCTGTGAACTAATATATGTTAAGACAGGTAATACACTCTTGTACTATAAACACTGATTGATATAATAGTTAGGGAAGGGAATTTTCCTAACACGGTTCATTGTCAGCCAAAATAAATCCCAGAGTAGGATTTTATCGGAACAAATAATGTTGGTGATGCACTACAGAAAGTGCTGACTTGTACTGTGGTCTGGTGCAGAAAATGCACTTACATGTTTATTGGATGGTCTGCACCCTTTTCCCATTTACATTACCACTCAACACAAGAAGTGTCAATTTCAGCTTTCCTTTTTCCATCAGTTAAAAAAAATAATAAAATCTTCATTTAAATAAAGCAGTAAAACCAGCTTTCTGCTTTTGCTTATTCTGCTTGTATTCATTCTGGCTCCATTTCAGGGAATTCTTGCAAAGATAAGTACACTTCTGACTTAGGATTGTGCAGTTGTGATTTCCAACCCATGCAGCAGGGTTTTAAAAGTTCCTTATACTTTCATTTCAGTAGAGAAATTTTTTATTTAAAAAGCACTTAGATGCAAGTCTGAAGAGGTGAGCTCCTTCTCAACGCAATTTTGTGATAAGTATTTGCACCAGTGTTTGACCTTGAGTTATGTAAAATGAATACTGTAAAATGGATACAGTAATCCTTCAAGAATGGTTAATTTGCTGCAAACCTTACTGAGTAGGTTTTTCCAAAGCTTAGAAACTGCTGTTGTGAACTACTTTGCAAATCCTAATTTGAGTTCTGTGCTGGTTGGAAATACAAGCCAGGCTTCTCTAAACTAGTGTCTGTAGCGTAGACATAACAGACCTTCTTTCACCAACTGTTCTGCTTCTTCGCAGTAGCACAGACTCTTACCCTTCCTGTTGTCTGTTCCACAGGTAGCTCGTTGCTGCTTTTGCTGCGTGCCCGACGGAGACGGTAATTACATTTCATTGCACAATTTACCTCACTTGTGGCTTTCACACCACAGCCAAGAGGGTTAGGACACAGCTGCAGATGGGGAGCTGCTTGTAGCCTCGTTCTGTGGCATATCAAACTGAAGCAGCTGAAGTGCTCGAAGTTAGGCTGGGGAAGGAAGCAAGAGATGTAACAATACCATTTTAAAACAACAGGCTAGTTAATAATTCTTTAAAGGACATTTCCTTGCTGCAGCATGCAAAGAGTAATCTCTGCTCTTGGTGTGCTTGTGGGTGTGACTAACTACTGGATTTTTGGCTCAGCAGCTCTGCAGGGACTGCAGTTCAGGAGTGAGTTAGGAAGTGAGCGTCCTGTTTGCAGACCTGGTACAATCAGGGTTATCAGCTTGGACTTCCCAGAAGAATATCATACAAGTAGAGCAGCCTAAATGGCCCAAATGCTCAAAAACTAGCCAGTATGCCAGGAAGCTAATACAAGGCAGGATTTCAGTGGCAGTCCAATTTCTGTTACTAAAGGTTTATGCCCATACATTGAGGGCAAGGGAATATTCAAGTGTTGCTCTGTATCACGCTTTCCTAAATCACACCATAGATGTTTTGCTGTATTCTTCATGAAGCCAGATGTTGTTTTCAGTTCTCATTAAATTCGAAAAGGCTTTCTTGTTTCTTGTGCCTCACAGCTGATTCTAAAGAGCACATTGAAAAAAGGGGAGGCCAGACTGTGATTTATGATGAGAAGAAAGGCACAGTGTACAGTTATGCCTACTTCCACTTCGTTTTCTTCTTGGCTTCGCTCTACGTGATGATGACAGTAACTCATTGGTTCCAGTAAGTGTATTTCTTTAAAGCTGAGAAATTAATGTCTGTCTGCAGTGAGGCGGGGAGATGTGAACAGGAACTTCTGCCCTTAGTGTGTCTCCTCTTCTTTACTTGAGAAGCTGGGAGAGACATTTCAAGTCTTTGCTAGGTGATGCTTGAGTAAGTCGTTGCTCTGTAAAGGGCTGCTCTCCCCTGTGTTGTGTCTGGGTTAACCTCGTTGAAGTTTGTGACCCACTTCAAAAACCAGAGGATAGTCTGAAATATGAATAGTGAGTTTATTGCTGCCTTTTTTTCTTTTTCCTTAACAGTTATGAAAGTGCTCAGATTGAAAAATTCTTCACTGGAACCTGGTCTATCTTCTGGATTAAGATGGTCTCCTGTTGGGTTTGTGTCTGTCTGTATTTATGGACTCTTATTGCTCCACTCTGTTGCCCAACCAGAGAGTTCTCAGTGTGAACACTCAGAAGGTCCTTCTGTGTTTTTCTTTTCTCCCCCCCCCAATACAACACAACAGTCATTTTGTAATGAGGAAACACCTGTTGCCCGATTATCATAATGTACCAGTTAGTAACATTTTAGTCAGACTAAACAAATGATTAAACATTTTTTTACCTTTTTTAATTGTCATGAACAAGCATTGCCCAAGGGAGCAAATCTGTTCCAAAACTTTGTAACGCTGATGTGTGGAGTGTAGGAAACACAGTTGTTGCATGAACTGGAATAAGTGAAATCCTTTTCAAAAAACTGACAATCTTTCTCTGGCTTCATTGACAAGATAAAAAAATCATGGTGCAGATGTATCTTCTTCCTTCATGTGAATGTTGGATATCATCTGGCAAATATGCATTCCTTTTTATACTCTTTCATTAACTGTGTCTTTTACAGTTTGCAGTGATGATTTGGACTGCTGTTTTGTACAGCATATAATTCTTGTAAGTAGTATCCAAATATTTTTCTTCCGAAAACATAACTAAATACTTCTGTAGAAATAGAGAATATGTAAGAATTTGACTGCCAAAGCATCTACTAAAAATTGTTTATCTAAATATTAAATATATTAAGTTATTGTATACCTAGATTGAGAAAGGAATGTACCAATGATAATAGAGTATTTATTCTATTATAACTTTAAAAGGCACCTGAATATTTTATGCTATTCAGATCTGGTCCAGTTGTTAACAGAAGGGGAGTTCTACACAAAAATTCTTAAACTCTGAATTTTGTCCAACGTTGCTTTGCCAGCTCACTTAAACTGCAGGTTGTGTGTACTGCACGGGGATTTAAGATACGGTACATTCTTTGTTCAGAATATTTGCTGTTGAGAAAATGCTTATTACAAGAGCACTGCCAGTTGCTGTTAAATTTAAAAATGGAGTGCTCGTTTACTTTTCTGCCCTGCTGTTTCAACTTGTGTGTAAAGATCTCCCAGGATTTTCAGTTCTATTTCTATTACTAATTTTATAGTATTTTAAATGCAGTGATGGTCAGAAAAGGACTATAGTGCGTCATCTTCCTTTTCTGTCTGTGTGTCGGTTGGAAAGTATTCTTTCTAACTGCTATATTTTTATACTCCTCTGTTGATGTTTTGCTGTTGGGATGGGAGTTAGCCAACCAATCCATTAATGGAAACTAAACTTCTTTTGGAGAACTCCTATTCCAAGCAGTGGGGTAAGCAGTCAGAAAAACAAAACCAGAAGACACAAATGTAACAGCAGCTGCCTTAGTAAAAATTACTGACTTGACAATATTAAACTGTACCATGTCTCTTTTATTTGTTTTAAGCAGATGATTTGGTGGCAGAACAGCAGCTCAGATGCCCTAAGTGCAGAATAAGGTTGAACCCACTATAGTTATCTACATTCCAGTGGGATGCATTTATAACTTATGATAGTCCCAGTGGTTTTGTCTTCTCTCTCTTTCTATATATATACACATACAATGTGAAATATGTAGGATATTAACAAAATCAGTTGATTTAGCAGTTCTTTTTTTGAAATAGGGTTGAGCCTTAAATCTTCACCCAATGCTTTCTGCAAAACAAAAGCACAACATAGAGGCCAATGAGGTGGCCAAAGTATCTGCATGCCTTATTTGTTCTGTTGCAATAATTGATGGTTAATGCATATCTGGTGAGTAATTCTAATATAACAGATCTCAGTTCTGCTCTTGGTTTTGTTAACACTTTTAGCTGCCTTGTTGCTATGTTATCCTAGGGCTTCTGGCCTGCTTGGGAGCTTGCTAGGGGTGCCATCTTCCCAACCCCATGCACTCTTACCTCAAACAAAACCTACAGGTCTCTAGTCCTGTATACTTACAACACCTACCCCAGTGATTAGGAGCCTCAAAATACATCTGTCATGAGATGTGAGGGAAGGAGTCATCTGTCCAGAGATGACTGTCTTGCTGCTCTTCTCCTTGTTTGGGCCTAGGGGAAAAAAAGCAGTTGAAGCTTCGCTTCGACATTCCGTTAGAAAAGCAACATATAGCTCTGGAGAGGGAGGCAGGTTTTTTCCCTTCCTTTTGCTTCTACTGGGGGCTTCTGATCTTGCCAAGAGCTCTGCTAGCATGGAGGCCTGTCGGTATGCCTCTGCCTGCATTTGGACTCCAGCCATGCAGATCCTTCTGCAGCAGAGAAAGGCCTTTGTTAATGCATTCGTAATCTAGAAGCCTTTATCTGTCCCATCACTAAGATAAGAGCTTATGGGCTGTGCAATGATGACTAACAGTTGTCCTACCTAACTCATAGCAGCTATTCTGACAAACAATATTGATCCAGTGCTACAGCTGTGAGCTGCAGTTGACATAGTCCAGGCTCTTGCTCTTCTCCTGGAGAATGCTGTTCCCTAATGTACAGAGGCTCACAGGAGTTGCTTTCTAGTGCCCTATGTGTTGTACTACGAGAAACAAAGCATGTGTTTTCTTTTTTAAATTAGTAATGTTTTTTATAACAACAATCTGGGAGAAGAGCTCTACAGAAGAAGGCATGGACTATGTCAAGTTATAAGGCAGGGAATGGTAACTGTTCTCTGGTTTGATAGCAGGCATCCCAGTCCCAAATGTGGATAAGCATAGAATCATAGAACACCATGTTGGATGGGATCTGAAGGATAATCTGGTCCAACCTTTCTTGGCAAAAGCATGGCCTAGACAAGATGGCCCAGCACCCTGTCCAGCTGAATCTTAAAAGTCTACAATGTTGGGGAATCCACCACTTCTCTGGGGAGATTATTCCAATGGCTGATTGTTCTCATTGTGAAAAATTTTCCTTTTGTGTCCAATCGGAATCTCCTCAGGAGTGACTTGTACCCATTACACCTTGTATTTTCCCTGTGACTCCTTGTAAAAAGGGAGTCTCTATCTTCTCTGTAGCCACTCTTTAAATACTGGAACCTGGTGATAAGGTCTCCCCTAAGCCTCCTTTTCTCAAGGCTGAAGAAAGCCAATTCTCTCAGCCTTTCCTCACATGGCAGTCTTCCCAGTCCTTTGATCACCTTTGTGGCCCTTCTCTGGACCGTCTCTGACCTGTCCACATCTTTTTTGCGTGGTGGGGACCAAAACTAACCAGAGTATTCCAGGCGTGGCCTGACAAGCACTGAGTAGAGTGGGATAATGACTTCTTTATCTCTGCTGGTGATGCCCTTGTTGATGTAGCCCAGCATCCTTTTGGCTTTCTTTGCCGCAGCAGCACACTGTTCACTCATATTGAGCTTGTTGTCTACCAGGACGCCGAGGTTCCTTTCTGCAGAGCTGCTCCCCAGTTGAGTGGATCCCAGCCTGTGCTGCACTCCTGGATTATTTTTTCCCAGGTGCAAGACATTACACTTCTCCTTGTTGAACTACATAAGGTTCTTGTTTGTCCACTCTTCCAGCCTATCCAGGTCTTCCTGCAGGGTGGCTCCTCCTTCAGAAGCATCCACTTCCCCACTGAGTTTGGTATCATCAGCAAACTTCATCAGGCTACACTTGATCCCATCATCCAGATAGCTTATGAAGATGTTAAACACTGTTAAACAATATCGATCCCTGGGGGACCTCACTTGTGACAAGCCAGTTTGAAAAAGAGCTGTTTACCACTACCCCCTGGGGGCAGCCTGTCTGCCAGTTCCCCACCCACAGACCACTTGCGTAGACCGTAACGCACCAGTTTCTCTAGGAGGAGGCTGTGGGGAACCGTGTCAAAAGCCTTGGAGAAATCCAGGTAGACAACTTTTGCTGCTCTTTCTGCATCAACCGAGCAGGTTACTTTGTTGTAGAAGTGATAAGGTTTGTCAAGCACAATTTGCCATTGGTGAATCTGTCCGGGCTTTTCCTAGTCACGTGCTTCATTTGACTTGTGATAGCCCCAAGGAGGATTTGTTCCATAATTCTCTGAGGGACGGAAGTAAGACTGATGGGCCTACAGTTTCCTGGATCCTCCTTTAAGCCCTTCTTGTAGATGGGGGTGACATTAACCTTCTTCCAGCATTCTGGGACATTCCCTGATCTCCGTGACTTCTCAAAGATTATGGAGAGCGGCCTTACAGCAATATCAGCCAGCTCTCTTAACACCCTCAGGTGGATAGTGTCAGGACACATCCACTCGTAGGGGACAAGCTCCTGTAATAGTTCACATACCAACTCTTCCTTCACTGATGGTGGGTCTGTGTTTGCATCAACCTGGATTGCTGTTCCCAAGGCCTGGAGCCCAACAGTGCTGGTAAAGACAGAAGTGAAGAAGGTGTTGAGAACCTCTGCCTTTTCAGTGCTGTTGGTGACTAATTCACCTCTCCTGTTTAACAGCAGGCCAATATTTTTCCTTCTGTTTCTGCCTGTTGTTTACGTACCTGAAGAACCATTTCTTGTAGTGCTTGGCATCTCTGGCCTATTTCAGTTCCAGGTGAGCTTTTGCTTTTCTGACTGCATGTCTGCACATCCTGGCAGTGCCTTTGTGGTTCTCAACAGGTATTCGTCTGTTTTTCCATCTCTGGTATGCTTCTCTTTTGGTTTTGAACAGGCTCAGAAGCTCGTAGTTAAGCCGAGTGGGTCTCTTGCTCCACCTACTTCCCTTACTGTTTTTGTGCTTCCAGGAGAGCATTCTTGAAAAACTCTCATCACTCGCAAGCTCCTTTATCCTCCATGGAAGCTTCCCATGTGTCGTGGTTTGGCTTCAGCCAGCAATAAAGAACCACGCAGCCGCTCACTCCACTCCCACAGCTGTGGGGGAAAAAAAATCGACAGGGCAAAACTTGTGGGTTAAAATAGTGCAATTTAACAGAACAGCAAAAGGGAAGATGAAAACAAAACAATAACACCGATAAAGGGATATGAAGACACGATTACAATACCACCACGAAGCACACCGACCAGACCCGCGCCACCGCAGCCCACCCCCAAGTGGCAACTGCTCTCCTCTCCCTGGCTAGCTCTTCTTATAGCCCCGGCATGAGTCTCATGGGCTGGAATACCTGCCCCCTGCCGGCTCCTTGGGGAAATTAACCCTATC